CATGTAATTTTATTTTACCTATGCGCACAAATTTTTAACAATATTTACATTTTAACCCAGGCATATTTCCCTCATATTACGAGCCCTGGGGCTACACGCCCGCCGAGTGTACCGTATTGGGCATACCGTCGCTCACGTCAAACCTATCCGGGTTCGGCTGCTTCATACAGGAGCACGTGGCCGACCCCATGAGCTACGGTATCTACATTGTCGACCGGCGCTATAAGGTCTGTATTATAAACTACTTGGCGCCGACCATGGTGATTATGGTTACTAACCATGTCCGTTTACACCCCTACCCTCGCAGAGCGCCGAGGATAGTATACAACAACTGGCCCAATACATGTTCGACTTCGCCTGTCTGTCCCGTCGGCAGCGCATAATACAGCGCAACCGTACGGAGCGTTTGAGCGATCTGTTGGACTGGAAAAATCTGGGCATTGTACGTATTAAATTTTAATTAGTACAATTAAATAACAGTGGGTGTTTTTTTTGCAAAATTATCTACGTGATAAATATTGATTTACATAAAATATTTAGATAAACAAAAGTTTAATCAAGTTTTATTTGGTTAAAAATTAGTGCACATTATTTATCGCACACTCTGTATATAATTATATTGTTTTGATTAATACCGTATTTCCTGGCCATAGTATTACCGAAAGGCACGCCAACTGGCGCTACACCGACTGCGGCCGGAGATCATGGAGGAGGACATGGAGTCGGTGCGGGTGCGCTACCCTCGACCGTTCAGCGAACCGCCCACACCGTCGACCAGTCGGGGCGCGTCGCCCACCTCTAGCCGGGCCACCAGTGATGACGAGGACGACGACAGCGACGAGCACTCGGACGGCCACGACTCCGACGCCGAGCAACAGATACTGTCCGCTCCGGAGGGCAATTGATTTGGTTATCCTATTTTGTTTAGGCATAAAAGTAGTGTTTATTTGTTTTGTTCAGTACTCCCGAGCTATGGTTTGCCCGATAGGGTGTGTATACTGTATACCCCTCCCAACCCCTGCCATAACCCCCCGAACCCGTATTTTTTGGTCATTTTTTAAAAATGTTTTTAATTTTTTGAATTATTGTTTGGTTTTTATTTAAATTGTGTTCAAAAAGATGTGCTATTTTTAGATAGATTTTTTCCCCATGTGTCTGTGTTTTAGGTTTTAGTTTTAAAAACAATTTTTTTGTGATCATTTTTACCTCGATCTATGTGTAGAGCCTGTCTTTTCTATTATAATCTCATTACTATTATATTTAATATTTTTAGCTAATGTTTAGTTTACAAATAAATTACAAATACAATTATACAATCAATTTGTGACACAAATGCTATTAATTTAATCACAATTTTTACTATTAATAATATACTCATTACTGTCTCTCCTTTACCCCTGATATTGGGATACAGTTTTAACTATTGTTTATCCGATTTATACATCCATTTGTGCCATTAATTACTTATTAATTACGATTAATTACGAATTAATTATAATATTTAAATAATTGTTACTTATAATACAAATAGAGATCTTATTTTTATGTAAATGTTATATAATTATAAATATAGTCATAGAATATAATTAATTTTTTGAAAATAAAATATTTTATTCATATATTAATCTTGCACATATTATTTAACCAAGTTCTTTTTTCTATAACAGGTGTCAGTTTAGTATTATTGTAACAAAATCATGATCAAATTGAAATATAGCAAACTTATTTTATTCACTTTAATTTAAAACACATGTCCTTAAAAACAGGTTAGATTACATCATCACGAGAATGTAACCTTGCTTAAAATAGCTGTTACTTCAATCAAATTGAGATAATCTAATCAGGATGCTATGCAGGCACCAAGTGGCATTGTCACACACTGATTAAGCATATCAAGTACAATTGTACATTAAACATGGTACAAATACTACAGTACATCATATGCAGTAAAGTATATAACATTCTGTGCAAATAAATAGATATTTTTAGTTAAAGTAATATTTAAAACACACAAGTTTGAATCTGCATTTATGCTACCTCAAAAAAACCATTTGTGTAAAATCACCTTAATCAATTTATTTACCTACAATGGCCAACAAACTAACCATATTGTTCTGCCCATTGGACGCCTGGGGCCACATCAACGCCTGTCACGGGTTAGCCGAAGTACTCGTACAGCGCGGCCATCGGGTGCTGTTCGCCATAGACATAGCATATAAGGGCAAACTCGCGCCCTATGGGTTTGAGGAGATTGTGGTCAAACTGCCCACACCTGCCGGTACTGATGGCCCATCAAAGGACCCGTGGGGTGACTTTGTGGTAAAATATAAACATGTTTATCGGGGCAAACCTATTGATATTGTGGGCACGAGTACTGTCGACGGGTTTCGTATTATGTATGAAAACGCGCGTACATTGGATGCCCAGTATCGGGCCATTTTGGCCCAGTATAACCCCGATGTGATAGTCGTCGACTCGTATATAGGGTCGCCAACGTTGACTAACTCTGGTAGGCCCTGGGTTTGGCTGTGTTCGGCCGCACCGCAAATGTTTTTTCACAATGATCAATTGCCACCACCATGTTCAGGTATGTTGATAGTGCATTATTGTTGCTTGATGTTATTTGATATGTTAATTTAATCGCTTGTTATATTTTAACAAAATGTTGAATTTTGCGCTTAAATTGTAATAATATTTTTTGTTACCTAAATATTTTATTAACCAAGTTTATGGTACTTTTTAATGATTGATGTCAATTAGTGCAGAAAATATATTTTATTATTATTTATAAGTGTTTCAAACTATAATATAAAATATGAATTTTGTGTAAATATAATTTTTAAATGTGCTTTTATAATTGTTTTACTTTTAGGTTTTTAAAAATTTATAAATCAATCAAAGTCAGTTTAGCAAGAAGGCAAATTAACACAATGTTTATTAAGTATTTATATTCATTATAAGCTTTAAAATATTGTATATAAAATTAATAAATTATAACTGTAAATTTATGAATAAACTATTCATTTTATTAACCATGGTTCGGATTAAATTTAAAAATGGACTAAACTAGTAAAACGAAAATTAAATAAACAAATAATTTATTATTTTTCAAATAATATGTTAAATGAATTTTCAGTTCAAAACGTGCCATAAATTTCCTAAAATTTTTAATAAAATATTTAAAACTACTAATATTTTAAAAAGTATCAAAATATAAATACAATTAATTAATAAATAGCACATGTTTTAAATTTGCATTTCATATTTGAAAACAAACTAAACATACAAAATTATTGTTATAAACTGTAAACTAATATACATTGAAAACAAATATTTACCAAAATCATTATATTAGCATTAAATCTGGATGACCATTTCTGAAAAGTTTACAAAAATATTCTATTTTAATTGAAATATATACTATGTTTATTACATTTCATAACCATTTTCTTATTTTAAAATATTAAATATAAATATAATTAAGGAGGGAAATATCTGGGATGGAAATTGCCAACCCTATTGATATTAGTATTAAAATGTACAGAATTGTTGCCCGATGTTTAATAAAATGTCAAAATCGGCGAATGGCCAGAGACGTTGGCGTACTGGTCAATTTTCAAATCACGCGTCTATTGCTTATAGCATTG